CCCCAAAACCCCAAAACCCCAAAACCCCAAAACCCCTTTTGTAAATAGACTAACTGAAAAGATCAATTTAAAGGAATTCTTCTTATCCAGAGGTTTGCAGATGTCTGTATGGGTTCATTGTTCCAGGGGTTTTTGATGGAAATCCTTTAGTTGGAGTCATAAATGTCTCTCCATCAATTCTAAGAGCCAGATTACTTCTCATAGGTTGTAAGTGAGGGTGCCCATTATAACCCATTGCTCTTCCCATGGCTTTCTGGAGTGCTGACTCGGTACGCTTAAGTTTTTTAGTTGTTGAACAAAGATCCTTTTTAAATTTCTCTTGCTTTTTGCCAGCTTTAGCAAATTGTCCAGGATCAGGAGTTACCACCATAATGGATGAAGTATACATATTGCCTGCTGTTCTTTGAACAACAGTGGTATTCCTGATTGACTTAAAATTGTTTTGATACGAAGATACCATTCCAGAAGGATCATTATAAAATCCAGTGATGTTACCGTTTCCTCTAAGTAAGAACTTTTTGCGCTCTCTAATGGCTCCATCCATCCCTTGGTCTTTCTTCTCAAGCTTAGTTGGGATCAGATTGTTCTTCATCCTTCTTTTGAGCAAATTAGAGGTAGTCTGAGGCCTCTGATTTGAAGTTGCCTTCGCGATTCTGTTAACAAGTGTAGATTTATTAGCTTTTTGGATTGTTTGATTTTGAACAACATCATGAGGATCATACCAAGCATGCTTTATATGGCTCATTGTTTCAGCAGGAAGAGACTGTTTCCAGTGAGTAAATATGCCTTTAACCACGATTATCGCTAGACTGATATACTTTTTATCTTCACCAGCTTGGACCCAGAGATCCAAGTGAGCTTTTGCAGTTTTGTTAAGAATCTTGCATGCTTGCAGCTCTGAAAATTTCTTAAATGAAAGAATTCCTGTATCAGCGAGATCAGTTTCCTTTCGACCAAAGGCAACACCGTATGCAGACTTGTACATACTCTGGCGATACTCTTTTCTGAAGCGCTCTAAGTTGTGGCTATCCAGTCTCAGAAGGGACTTGGTCGCCAAGGTTTTATTTAATTTCCTCTGCCATTGCTTCCTTAGGTTTTGTACGAAATTTTTTGCCTCTATGCTTCATAACAGCTCTAATAACTTTCAAACCTTGCTTATCCTTATCTGTGGTGAACTTGAGCCAACTAATTCCTGAAGAGAGATATGCTGGTTCTAGAATTTGTCTAAGAAGCATCTCAAATTCATGATTACCATTTGGCCTAGCAGGGAGAGCAGTTGAGGGTCTAGATTTTCCTTCCATAATGGAAATTTATTAAAATATAAGTTTCAAGAAATTATTTTATTTTCGGGGTTTTGGGGTTTTGGGGTTTTGGGGTTTTGGGG